CCCCCCAAACCTTCCACTCTCTCTGAAAAGCAATGAAAAAAAAATCCTTGTGTGAGGATTAAAAAAAAAAAGATGATGAAACAGGCTCAGAGAAATTAAGTAACCTGTTAAAGGTCACACAGCTGGTTGCTCAGAGATAAGGCTGAGAGAAACTGTAGGTGTGTTCCTCTCAGTCCAGGACTCAGTGGCAGGGTGTCCATCCTGATTACACCCAAGGAGTGTTTCTGGTGAACATACAGAATTTGTTCAAATTGGTTGGGGTATGGATCGGGGACCTGTCTTCCATCTTCCATAGGCTCCCCTGTGACACGGTGCAGCCAGCCCGGCCCCAGTCACGTTCCCACGCCACCTTACCACTAGCTGCATGTTAGCAGTAATACAGAAATACATGCAAACAAGTATTTATCCAGGGTGGGTGGTCACTCGGTGCAGACCAGGTCAGAATCCCCATGGCTCTGGTTTTAGCTGTCACTGCTTAGAATTAAGGTTTAGAAATGTACAGCTCTAGTTTTTAAAAGAAATTTGGTTCTTCTTTACATTTATTAAATTTTTGTTTCCATTAAAGTATTTAATGGTCTTTGGAGAAAAAAAGTATATTTTGAAATTAAGACTTTGTTTTCTGAAATAAGTCTGGCATAGGAGTTAAACTGCTGTATGACTACGTGAATTAGAGTGAAAACTTCAACAGCTACCGGTCAGGCCAGGGTGCAGAGGAGCAAGCTGGGGACAGGCTGCCTGGGGACGGGGTATGTGGACCGAGCCATGTGCAGTTTCCAGACCCCTCAGTTGACCACGAAGTCTGTTACCTCATCAGGGCCTTGAGCCCTGTACACCGAAAGTCATAGGACACCGAGTACATCTCATACATGGTGGCCTTCACGTTGAGGCAGCCGATGACATCCTTGGGACTCAGCTTGTACAAGTCGAAGGTGACTCTTGCTATTCCTGATTTCTTTGGTGGCTGGCGAGCGGTGACGTAGTTAGTACCCTAGAATAGTAAGGGAGGAAGGACCTATGACACGCACGTCCTGCAATCCTGGTTTTACGTGCTAGTTTCCACCCTGTCGGTTTAAAATCTGTGAGTGAATAAGTTGCTAATTATTTGAGGAATGTTTTTGAGCAGAGCAATATGCTTATATGGCTACCATGTCCAAGCCCATAGGAAAGTATCCTCTCTTAATCTACGCCGAGTCGAGTGACTCCGGGTGAGGGATTCAGCTGTGGGGCCTGGTGTCAGGCACAGCGGTGGAGGAATGGTTGTGCTGCTGACACGTGGCGTCGAGAGGCTCTCACAGTCATCGCTGAGGGTGACCGTGGTTACCGGATTGACACGGACGGTCTCATGACCATGACACCGTCTGTTTAAAGAGAAGCAGGCAGCATTATTTCCGTTTTATAAGAGGCTTCTGGGCAGTTTTAGAATCACACGGCCACACTAAGGGGCAGCGTGAGCACTCTCCTAGGGCGCCCCCTATCTTCTAGTAACTGCCCTGAATGAAAGCTGACTTCCTGTGGACACGGAAAACTGCTTGGTTACAGCATCCACTCTCAGTCTACCTGAAACATCACAGACCCTTCAGGTTAGAGGGAGAAAGTGTTTATAAACAGCGCTGCAATATAATCTTCCCCACCAAGAACTTTGAAAAAAACACACAAGAGATCAGAGCTGTCCCAGGCCCGGGGGCTACTCTTCCTATGGGTTTGCCCCTCACATGGATCTTGCAGTGTTTAGGTTTCAAATGTACATAAGTCAGTAAGAGTAACCAAGTCTCATGATCCTCTGGGGTTGGGAGTAGTTGAGGCTATGACTGTGCAATTCATAATGACAATAATCTAGTGTATTTGAAGTTAAAACAAATTCTTGTTGAAGTACTTGAACCCTTCTTGCTGGAACCACACTCCCCCTCCCCCAGAACATACCCAGTGAGAGACTCTGGTTGTTGCCCAGTGTTTCAGGCACAAGAGGTCCTGCCGCTTCTTCACTTTAGGGGGTGCAAACTCTCCATCATTTAGGAAACATTTTTAAAAGTCAAGATTACAGAATCAAAAGGGGTTTTCACCTCTAATCCTGCCACGACTCTTTTATTGCCTCCTGCTCCTTCCTGCTGTAGGGAAGTTTTTATCTTACTTTCCCTAAATGTCTTCCTTAAGTCTTGGCCTTAAATCAAATCAAGATGTGCTCACAAAGCTAACCCACTTGCGCTCTAACACGGGGCACGTGGAGTCCAGCGCTGCTGACCACGGAAGAAGGAAATGACCGCCTCCAGGCCTCTTCCCCAAGGGGCTTCAAGAAGCGACTTCCTCACAGGCTGCAAGGCGTTTACACTGAAGAAGGGAGACCCCTGGCGGCTATTTCTTGGCTGGCTGTTCTTGTCCAAGTCGAAGAAAATTGGCCTCATTGTAAGAACACTTCCAAGTGGGGTAGGATCTGTAACTGGCTGTGAGGGGCACATTTCCACCCCGAGGGAAGAGGGCTGAAAAGTGAAAGTCAAGAGAAGGCTCCAACCCAAACTCACCTGCCACCCAGGCCACTACTAGACTGAGGCGGCTTCAGGCCTCTCCCTGAACCATCAGATCGCAGACTTCTTATTTGTATTCAATACACCCCATCACCGCCCGTACTCTGGCTTGGCACCCCAGCACCTACCCACGCCGGGGGCTTATATATGTCACATGTTAACCAAGTCCCCCTAGTAACTGAGTGACCCCATGGAAGATCATGGGGTCTTGGAAAATCTACTGGCATGATCGGCTGCTCTAAAGGTACTTTACTTTAAACCGTATGCTTTTTATAATTTGTCTGAAGTTTCCTCCTTCCACTTAGAAAAATTACGAAGTATTTTACATGTGTAGGAGGGGGCATACAATATGTGTAAAAACAGGGACTAGTAAGATGGTGCGTGAGCCCACTCTACATGAAACAGAACATCATCACCTTATGCGCCTCCCCCAATCATTCCTCCACTTTCCCAAGAGAAAATTATCTAAGCTGTGCAACGTTCTCTTACTTATTAAAATTTAAAAAGTATCTTAAACATTATGTAGCTAATTATATATATATGTACATATATATTTATATAAGTTATCTATAAATGGTTAAATGCAGAGGTTCTCAAAGTGTAATCTGGAGACACCTGGGGGGTCCTGAGACCCTTTCAGGGGATTGAGAGGCTACAACTATTTTTATAATAAATGTTAAGATGCAACTTGCCCTTTCGTTCCCATTCTCTCACAAGAAGTGGCATTCTCCACTGTACATTTGGGAAACCTGCCTAACCCAGTGAATCAGTTTTCTAAATGAGCAATGCATGATGTTAAAAATCTGAGGATTTCCCTTTCTTGAAGGTCATTTAGACATATGAAAAGATGTTTCCATATTTGCTTTACATTTTTAGTAGAAGGGTTTTCCAAGATATATAATATATAGTTTTCCCAGAAATAGAAAACTTGATTCTATCTCTTAACTTTTCTAAATCACTGTAGTCACACCTCCACCCACACACCCCTACCTAATTTCATTGGCTCTGTTAGCTTGCTGGCCTCCCAAGGACAGAGACAGTGAATGGTCACCAGGTCATACCTACAGGCTTGAACAGGATCTGTGGCTGCTCACTGCCCGAAGCCTGTCCCTCGGAATTATTTGCTTTACATCAAATAACCCAAGCTCGCAAAGATGCTATATTTCCTAGAAATACTTATAAGAGTCCCTCTGAGGGCAGGAGATCCAGGTATTAGGTGACTATTAAGGACATATTTAAAAAGTGGGCACGTCAACGCCAAAGTAGGGAATTCCCTTTTGTAGGTAAAAAGTCCGCCCAGCAGCTGTTCGGGTAACAGTGGGTTTGCTTACCGGTGTCCACTTCTGTCCTTTTTCCAAGATCATGAAATGTGTGTTATCTGCTAGGGTCTGAAAAAACTCTTCTGTGTCCACCACGGTGCCGTCTTCCTCCAGCACCAAAGTGACCAGCCCGCTGGTGATAAGTAGGGCGTCCAGGGTCTAGGTTGTTAACACATCAGAGGCACAGGATGAAGCAGGGGATTCCATTTCGATCATGCACAGCCATTGATTACATTATATTTTCAGAAGAGCTGGCTGATTTTGATACAATGTTAATGGGTCAAGATATACCCTACTTGGTGTCTATGGTTCAGTCTTGGCTTTGGAAAAAGAGAAGCTAAGGTTTTAAGGGACCTATCCTCTTCAGAGATTTCAATGACATGAGAAGAATGATTACATTTCATAAATATTTACCGTTTCTAAAATTACCCGCTTATTTGGACAAATAAAAAGAACAATCCTGCACATGTGATATTTAAGGAGCCTGAGTCTCGTGTGGCAAGTCTGAAGTTCTCTCTTGGTCAGAGCCTGCATGCTGGATGCTCACTTCTCACTTGCACCGGCGGCTGTGTCTAGGTTGTGCCTCCGTGCAAACCTTCCTTATTTGGTGATCTAGGACACTTGGATTAAGGACTATTCTTCCCTGGCTTTTATAACAAAAAAACAGATTTCCAAAGTCTGCTGCTTCCCTATATTCTCTCTTGTCAAGTAAATAAAGCTACAGTATCAACTGAGGACTGTTTCTAAGGCCTTTGTCTCTGTGCCTAAATCTCATATGGTACAAAGACGCAATAATGTTTCCTTTGGTTCTTTCCCTTAGAAATGGTCTCCCTTAGACTTTTCAAGGCCAAGACACCGACATTTCTGTCTCTGCCCTGGCTTAGCGCCCAAGACCCCGAGCCTTCTGGGAACGGGTGGGGAGCCCTGCGCCGGGCTACCTTGCTGAGCAGCTCCTTCAGGTTGCTGGCCATCACCCCCCGCCGGCTGCTCCGGCTGTGGTTCGAGACTCGGAAGGGCCGGGCGGCAGGCATCAGGGGAGTGAGCAGGACTCTCTTAGTCTGTGATCCCATAAATGTCAGGGGCCTGGAAAGAGAAGAACATTTAAAAATATATTTGACATTACTTTTTAAGAAGAGTCTCTAGCCCAGCCAGCGTGGCTCAGTGGTTGAGCATTAACCTAGGATCCAGGAGGTCACAGTTCGATTCCTGGTCAGGGCACATGCTTGGGTTGCGGCCTCGATCCCCAGTCGGGGGCGTGCAGGAGGCGGCTGATCAGTGACTCTCTCATCACTGATGTTTCTCTCCCTCTCCCTTCCTCTCTCTGAAATCAATAAAAACATTAAAAAAAAAAAGAGTCTCTAAAGAGAGGTTTGAAGTACACACAAGTCAAACAACTTTAATATTTCCACCTAAAAAAAAGAAATCCAATGGTTGGAAATTATGAAAAATTATGTATCACTATCTATCTATGTATCTCCCAATATCCACGGAATAAAAAATAATAATACATAAAATGAAAAACATAACCATCATTACACCAGAACATTCAAAGTCCTTGCAGTGCAACATCCTAATTTAAATCTAGAACTCTGATTAAAAGTGAATTTCTTGCTGAAAGTAATTGTAAAAACAAACAAAACAAAACAAAGTCCTTGCAGTAACTAGCTGAGAAAGAATGATAAAGTCATAAAAGAATTATATTCTGCAAATGTGGGTTTTAGAGCTGAAAAATATAAGAAAATGGTTTCTAGGGGACATGGAGTGCCTAAGCCAAGATTAAAAATTACACACACACACACACACACACAAAACTAGTTCCATATTTGTACAATAATAAGACCAGAAATCGATAAGCCAGCTATGGATTGCTACAGCAATAAACCAATGTTTTAAAATTAAGCTGGAGCAATGAGGAACAACAGGCCACCATAATAACTGGGTGGGATGACAGGAAGGGGCAGGACTTGGGACAGTTTGTCACATGACACTTGTAAGTACTTTCCACATTTATCAAACAATTAATTCAAGTTTTCTCTATAAGAAAGGGCTAACATGGAGAAAGAAAAGAACAGTAGTGAACCAAATCAAGACTTAATTTTTCTGAGGAAAAAAATCCCCAACCCGTGGTTATTAAAGTTTAGTTACCTCGCAACTACAAAAAAGTAATAAAATGGATAAACGAGAAATAGCTGATAAGGCGCTTACTACTTTAGCAGGTATTTAACAAACACATGTTTTGTTTTATAAATATTAACGCACCTAACCCTCGGAAAACTCTGTGATAGTCCCAGTTTTCTCAGTTTATAGATGAAGAGAACCACAGCCAGCGGGCTCCAGAGCTGAGGCTCTGCCCCAGGCACCTGTTCTTTGCTTCATAACGGGATCTAGTTACTAGTTACTAACTAAAGAATCAGAAAAGTTTGCCTCTTAGTGAACATATGAAGCTTTAGATGATAATTGATGACATGCAAAACCACCTCTGATACAGCACCGCATGCTTATAAACCAACACGCAAGAGGTTCTTTAAACCTAACTCCGTAAGAGGAAACAGACGTGCCTTGCTCGGAGCGCTAGAAGGGGTTCAGTCTCTGTAGAGACCAGTCTGGCAACGTGTAAAGAGTTTTCACCCAAGATCGTAGACTTTTTTATACTAGAAATATATTCATAAAGAAATTATTCCAAAGAATATAAACAGAAGTTAGGTCTTTGTAAAGTACTATATGATTGTCTAACCACAATGCTGTACATCTGGAACCAATATCAAATAATATTGAAAATAAACTATAATTGAAAAATTAAAATTTAAAAATTAGTAATGTTTCAGGCAGCTCTTGCTTCATGCTGGGTGCTGTGATAAGGGACATGTGACCTCATTTGAACCCCTGGCCCCCAGGACACGAGCAGCTGTACCGGCACTGTTCCCACACCCAGAGCAGCACCCACCTACTTCAGGTGCTCAAACAGTTGTTGACAATCTGGACAAATACTTGCACAGTGAGATTCCAGAGAATGACACAAAGGACAACCTTGTAGAAGATACAAAGTAAGGACTGGGCCGCTTTCTGACACAACAGTTTGTTTAGATTAACCCAACGAAGGCTAATACTCTAGAGAACACCTGAAGCACTTGCACATGCCTATCACCTAGGATTTAGCCCTTTATTTCCACACACACACACACACACTGACATTTATTACCTATGCTTTATTTTCCCAACTAGATTGGAGTTTCCTTATGAACAAGGGCTTCTTTGTAGTATCTCCCATGCTGCCTAGTTTAGTGCTAGGCATCGAACTTTTACACACTATGTTGTCTAAGTTGAAGTTCTATAAATGAAAATTCAATGACTCACCAAGTAATTTGCTACATGAACAACTGACTGTATCAAAATGAACCAGCTCTCAAACATTGTCAGGTTAAGTTCAGGCTACCAGCAGTTTCAGGAGGGGCCCCTAAGAGTGAGTGTCTGTGCCTCACCCTTATGGCCTCACCAACAAATTGGCATTCTGGAAACAGATCTGGATCTTTAAGCAAGTATTTGGCCTGAAATATATTCAGCCAGCATCACATCTGTGCCTCATCAGTGCTCGTTATCTGAGCACTTACTACGGCCAGCGATGTGCTAGCTCTTTATACATATTAACTAATTATCGTCACAACCGTGCAAGGAAAGTATTACCCACATCTTAGATGAGAAAACTGAGGCTCAGAATGGTTTCTCAAGGACATCCAGTTAAAAAGGAAAGGAGGTGGGATGTTGTCTCTCTGAACTTCAAAACCTCCATCAGCAAACATCAGTCGGGAGCGTTGCAAGGGAGAGCTGCTTTATGGCTGAAAGGACGGCAGGTTCTCAGTTCACAGCCTCAGCTCCTTTCCTTTAGAGCAAACTTTAGAGGGTCCCTGCAAACTTGGTTTCCGGGGAGGCCACCGCCAGGGGACGCGCCAGGTCAGTGGTCTCCAGTGCAGGCTCCCCGTCGGAATGACAGAGACCCCTGAGTAAGTCAGCGCCTGAACCCACGCAGCAGTGGGACTGGCATCAGCCTCTAAACGTTTGCCCTGATTCTCAGGAGTTAAACCAGGTTCCTCGGTTACACAACACGATGAACCACAAGCCCACATGCTGCTGAGCTGATGCTACAGAGGCTTTCTCAGTCTCCTCCCTGGCGACCCAGCGGACAGGCAGAGAGGATTGTCCATGTCATGCTTTTCATTTAGAACCTGGCTTTGTTCTCAACCTAAACATGGCATCTGGGCAGTATCTTCCCCAGCCTTACGGAGTCACTCTGCGCCAAGCACTGTATACCTGAGCACACTGCCCAATAACTCTACAGGACAAGGATTACAGATGAGGAAAACTGAGGCTCAGGACATTAAGAAATTAATAAGGTCAGAGTTAGCAAGCGCTAGCACAGGGGTTCCAATCCAGCCCCCACTTTCCCACCAGGGTGAGAGCCCTACCAGGCGCAAAGCCTCCTATAGCAGAGGGCAACCCTGGACCCTCACCGGCAACAGCTTCTCCTCCCCCAAAGTGGGAAGTCATTGCCATTGCCCAGGAGGCCTTCTAGAATCTATGCCAACTGAGACCAGGGTCTGTCTGTAATTTTTTACTTCCCCTCAGCACCTCAGTGACCCAGTCACTGAGTAAAAGATAGGCTGGTGCAAGATCAAAGAAATGGGAGAACAGAGTTCATGTCTTGGAATGTTAGGTCCAGGCCCTGGTGGCCTATGGCACACCTTGTGGGCACAAACAGCTGTGACCTAGTTGTCCTGGTCCACAGCTCCCCATTGGACACCTATGCTCACACCGTAGTAAGCACACCAGTGCTCCAGTGACCTAGCCCAGCTGAGCACACAAGGCTCTTATTGTCCTGTAACTTCTGACAAGACGAGAGCTGGCAGTCATCTCTGGTCCTCCCTCTTCACATTGCCCTCAACACAGTCACTCTTGATTTTAAAAAGGCATACAGTCTATTGTTTTTCTCGCCAGTTACACAAGAACTGGGTCACTAGAGCGAATTTCCTCGTATTTTTCCTTTTAGTGAGCTGTTTCCCTTCCTGCTTCATATGATTGTCTGCACTTTCCCAGAAGTTTTAAGAAAATTCTGAAGACATGAAAATTAAATTCTGCCCTTCTTTTCAAGGAACAGGAGGCGTGATTTGATGTGCCAAATTATATAAAATCAAGACTGTCTTATATACCACATAAAAAGGGGTTAAATGAAAATTTACCCACACGAAACCTATTTAACAAACATGAAGAGTACTTACTCAGCTAAATGAACAGCAGGGTTAACCAGTTAGCTACATGAGCAAAGCAATACAGGGCGGGGCAAACGTAGGTTCACAGCTGTATGGGAAGCATAGAATTTCTTCTTGCGTTATAGTTTATTATTGTATTATTTTCCATACAACTATAATCTTACTTTTACCCCACCCTGTATATTAATCTAACTCGTTTTTGGTTTTCTTAGTAGAATAATTTATGTCACTGGCCATTAGCACAATGCCTAAAATGTGTTGCTACCTCCCCCTCAATTTCTTAATATATCGATGTTGAAACAGGAGCACTGAGAGCATTTGAATTCTGCGTTTAGATACACACGTCAGTCACCTCGAACTTCTGGGAAAGTGCAGACAATCATATGAAGCAGGAAGGGAAACAGCTCACTAAAAGGAAAAATACGAGGAAATTCGCTTTGCTGTTCACGGAAATAGATTGTTTCGGGGAAATCAAGACGATAAATCAGACTTCATAGAATTGATCGTGAAAACTGTGAAGGGACATCTCTTTCAGAAGTGAGGGAAACAGTGTCTTTGGATTTGTCCTCAAGGGGACCGAGGAGTCCTCAACTTATAAAAGTGTGCTAAATAAAGCAACAGCCACAGACTGACAGTGGACATGAACTTTACTCCAGTAAAACACAGCTAACCCCCACAGGCCACAAGAAAACGTCTTTGTGTGGCACCCTCTGGGTTGGTGTTTACTCTGACAGTGCTGGAGCGGGCAGGCCCAGGGACTAGGCTTCTCTCACCAGGGAGAGGAGCATTTTGCTTTCAGCAGTGATGAGGGGATTCCTTAAGGCCCAGTAAGATACTGCCCAGGAACTATTCAGAGTGAAG